GTCATCTAGTTTGACTGATGGGCCTAAATGTCTTTGCCAACAGTCCCACCTAGTGGCCAGCCTTAAAATTACACCTATTTTTTTTTTCAATTCTACTTTTATTTGTACATGATAATAATGATGTCTAATGATAATAGACACCTGCTGCCAAAAGGGAAGTGTTCATGTTTCTGCCAATGTCTGTGTGAGTGTTTACTTGTGTGTCTGTTAGCAACGTATCTCATGGACCACAGGAGGATTTAATGAGTTTCTCAATAATTAATCATTGGATGTACATCTACAGCTGATAACCATTTGGAGGCGACCCAGTTCAAGATGGCTGCCACAGCTAATTGATCTTTGCCAACACAAAAATGTCTAGAAATCAGCTTACAGATATTGAGCTAAAACTTGTTGTAGCTGGGAGAGTCATCCACAACACAACTCAGTTTCTGTCCGTAAGTCTGACACATTGTCCAGTTTTAAAACTGGGCTTGAGACTTTCCTTTTTTATAAATCCTATAGTTAAGGTTGGCTTGTTATGCTGCTATAGGTTTAGACTTCTGGAGGACAAATTGACCTAATTTCCTTAAATGAATTGTTAAAATTGAATAGTTTTCATTTGATATTATTTCTATCTTAACATGTGATTCTTGACCTGCCATTGTGTATCTGTTCCTCTCAAACCTAGCCGGTTGAAGCAGATGGCCGCTTGTCCTGAGCCTGGTTATGATGGAGGTTTCTCATGAGGGAGTTTTCCAGGCCACTGTTACCTTCATGCTTGCTCAAGATGAGAGTTCTGTGATGGAGTTAAACTCAAAGCAGTCTGCTCCTCAGATAAATATTGTTCAATTATTTTTATATACATGAATGTTTCTGTTCAGTGCCCTGAGATGACTTCTGTTGTTGCCTGGTGCTGTATAAATAAACTGAATTGACTTGAACTCTGAGTGCTAACAGATTTCAAGCAACCATTCCAATTTGGCCCGCCCTGTCCTGTGTCCCACATAAGGAGGGGTGAGACACCCAAATGTCGTGCATTTGATAAGTGCTGGGCTGGCAGGGCTTACTTTGTGTCGTGTCTGTGTGGGAGGAGGGATACCATCCATCCATCCATCCATTATCTTTACCCGCTTATTCCATTTTGGGTCACGGGGTTCGCTGGTGCCCATGTCCAGCAATTACTGTGCGAGGGGCGGGGTACACCCTGGACAGGTCACAAGTCCATCACAGGGCCACATAGAGTCAAACGAGACAAACTCTCCCACTCACACCTAGGGACAATTTAGAGTTACCGATCAGCCTAACATGCATGTTTTTGGTCTGTGGGAGGAAACCGGAGTACCCGGAGAAAACCCACGCATGCACGGGGAGAACATGCAAACTCCACCCAGAAGGGCCCTGGACCGGGGTTTGAACCAAGGACCTGCTCGCTGAGAGGCAGCAGCTCTACCAGTTGCGCCGCCGTGCTGCCCAGGAGGGATACCGAGGGGCTGATTTGTGGACTTCCTGCAAAAGCAGGAGTAATGTTACCATAATAAGTGTAGATTGGATGTAAAACAAAAATTCTCAGCTTTCAAACCCGTTGGAATTTTACTGATAGCACAAACTATCGCAAAGTTACAGTGATGCAAAATGAGCTTGTTTAATAAAAATAAAAAAATGTCACTAGCGTCGTGCTCAGAATAAAAAGAATAAACATTTTGTTGTTCAAGTTCAGGTATGTTTATTAACTGAGTCAGCCATCAACCATTATAATAATAGTAAGGTTTTTTTATTTTTATAAAAAATACAGAGAAATACAATAAAAAAAAAAAACTCATGAAGATCAATGTGCAATTTGTTTGATCTCAGGTAAAGTTCAACTTAAAGGTCAGTTAGTGGTCATTGTTCCACCTTTAAATAAATATATAATATACTGATTTTATGTTTTGGTTTTTTTTAATTCTAGGAATTTAGTTAAATGCACTTTAAATGGCTGAAAATGCATAGTTTTGAATTTGTTCTTTTAAATTTATTTTGGGACCCCTTGACTGCTTCACATCACTGGTGTTCACAAATACGTAAAGGTGCCCCTCGTTGCCATCAGCAAATGTTGGCAAATATACTCAAGAGATCTCATAATGGCTCTTAAGATTGCCATTTACAAGTTTGACCAAACAGCTTTGACTGTCGCTTTTCAGCACAAAATTATTTTCAGTTTCAATCTCTGTCATGAAAGTTGGCGGGTGATATGCACCCCTTCAATGAGCGACAGGCCTTTAAGTTTAGTCCGTGTTCCCATTAAACCAAATGCATCAGCTCAAAACAATGATTCATGATTTGGCTTCACTAAATCTGATGGAGGACTTCTGATGCCTACGCTGCACATTTACATGCAGTTAAGAGGCTGACTTGTTTAAGAAGCTGTCTTTAGGATTATGATTTATTGCAGTCGCAGCATGAAATCGGGCATCAGCTGCCAGGACAGGAAAACAGCAACAAAGAGGAAGCACTCTGTTTACACATGCCTTGTGCTGCTGCACATCAAGCTAATTGGTAATGTCATATGATAAAACATAAGCTGATCCTTTATCTTTATCAATATATTGTGTGGTAGCACTTATTTTTGGCTGAGAACAAAATTCGGCTGAAGATCAGGAAGAAAAATAATTGAAGAATGCATCAAATAATAAACGTCTGACACACAAAGGGACACAAAGAAAGATGATCAAATTTCCACCCAGCAAATTTGGCTTAACAGTTACAAATTTGTGTTATTATAAAGTGTATGCATGGGTTTAGTTTTCCTGCCGTGCTTTCATTGAATGTAGCCATGTGTCCGTTTGTCTGTTAGCAAAATATACCTGGAACAAAGACATATATTTTAAGGAAACTATCAGAAAGTAATCACTGGACGTTTATCTGATTACTAAATGGAGTCGACCTGATTCAGAATGGTCACCACAGCTAATCAAGCTTAGCAAACACAAAAGTGGATCTACCCCAGTCATTTTACAGTTAGAGCCTAATTTGGTGTGGTAGTAGATGATGGTGTAGTAATCCCATTTTTTACTCCAAGCACTAATAGATTACACAAAATTTTCTTTAAAAAGTTAGCATAAATGCAGCTGGCTATATGCTAGCAATTTGCTTTTTAGCTTTTTGTGTGTGTATCTGTGTGGGTGTTTGTTTTTTGGGGGGTCAAATTATTATTTTTTTCTTTTTGTTTGAACAATTTTGTTCTCATTTTCTGCATTACTGGTCTTTTTCAGTTGTAATATCCCCAACTGATTCTGAGACAATCGGCCCACTGTGTCTTGTTTTTAATAAAAGAACAGAGACTCTTCCTTTTAAAACCCCCACAGTGTTGAACTTGAGTAAGAGCATCGCAGTTCAAAACCACCAAAACAGAAAAGGTCGAATTTGACCTAAAGTCAGTTTAGCAACAGCAAGAAATGAGATCCTTTCCACCTCTCTTTTGTGGGAAATGTGATATAAACGCTGCAGAGTACAAACGCAGACTCCTATGTTCTAACATGTAAATACTGCCAGATCCACCTCAGCAACGCAGAGTTATTAGCATGGGCTGGAGTGAGCACAAAGACAACATCTACATTTACATTTTCTGGTGAGAACATCTCTCCTTTAACAATTAGCAAACACAAGATTGTGTGGTTTATATTATTGCTTATTAAATCTTTAAACATCATTACATTTCTGTCTTTGTGTCCTCATCTGGGTCGTTCGGGACCTTTCAACCAAAGTAAAAAGGTATCCCCGCCACAACCTTCAGGAGTACTTCATCTACAAACCTGTCCAATAATGTGTCTTTTACCAAAATACTTCTTATAACATATGTCTTGTTCATAAGTATAAAGAAGTTCTATCATAGTCCCCAAATCCAAAGGCATTTGTCTAAAACAAAGTGTGTACTTTATGATCAGTATGTGAAAATGTGAACAAATACAATGATGAACCAAGGACAACACAATACAAAATGACGCTCCTAAATAAAATCTAGCATTTTTTTAAGAAATGCATATCAACTGCCACCTTTATGTCAGACTTTTTAGACTGAGCTCATCTTATAGTGAGAAATAAAAAAAAAAAGTTAAAGCTGTTTTGGTCAAACCTTTAAAATTTACATAATGCAACAATCTCATGTAATATTTCACATGATCTGTTAGTCTTTGAAGTATGTGTTGTGAACACTATCAATACAGTATCTGTATAATTCACTGAGGTATGGTTATTTGTCTGTAGGATAAGACTGATAAGCTGTGGCAGCCATGTTGGAAAAAGTTGGCTCTAAAAACTACAAAACCTTCAAAACATCTGGGACTTGTTTTTATTATCTTTGTTTAATCAATCCCAAAATGAAATCACTCCGACTGCTTGAAAATTAATCAATCCCGATTGTATTGCATGTTCCCAAAGAGGCAGCTCAAAGCTTATTTTTGTGCACTGCTGACACAATAAAGCACAATAACTACAACGACGCAGGAAGCTTGTTTCATATGCATTATTTATATGAATGACAGCCTATAAAACATGCAGAGAATATTGGTGTCGGACTGAATCATGAGATGTAAAATGAAATATGACGTCCTCTGTTCTGAGAAGCAATTCATACCTTCCTTTTTTCAAACCTAGTCTCATTTATTTATTCTGAAAAGATAAATAAAGCAGCTCAAAGTGCCAATAATGAACAGGAAAGAGCACACCTCATGCACACAAAACAAACAGTAGGAACCTGCTCTGCAGCTGATGAATCATGCTTTTTCCCCTGCATGTCAGATCCAGGAAGCCTTTTGCTCAATACCTTTTTCATATTTGAGAATATTTTCCATAAATTGAGAAAACAGTGAAGAAATAGGAGCGAACAAAGTTATTTTTTTCTTATTGCACATTATTCAAGGAAAGGCTTATGATTGGGGTGGGAAGGGTCATGTGATTATGTCCATATTTGGTCATGTGTCTCTCAGAGATGATGTCACCAGTGACCAACTGTGTGGCTAAAGCTCCCCTTTTTCATTGGCAGTTAGGGATTTATAGTGGGTGTTGCCACTCTGGGCTATAAAGATAGTTCTGGGCCTGTAGATAAAAGTGTGTGTGCATGTGTGTGTGAGAGGGAAAAAGAAAGAAAGGAAGAAAGGGAGACAGGGCAGATTATTGTGAATTAATACAGTTGTGCAATGATCTTTGCATCAGGAAGACTCTTTAAAAGGGAACTTAACCAAACTTATGTTATGTTAAGCTTGAACATGTTAGTTGTATTTTAGGGCACAGAGTTTAAAGAAAAAAAGGGGCAAGTTTAAAGAGAAAGAGAAAACAAGCTGTTTGCCATCTGGACAACAGAACCTACAGGAGTCAGCGTGTCAGCACCATGGGGAAGTCAGGTGAGTGGAAGATAGGAACTGTGGATATATCTTATCTTTTTTGTTTGTTTTTGCCAGAGTTACAAGTGTCCACATGTAGAACTGTGACTTTGGTCTTGTTTTCTACACAGATGTTTTAAATGTATTAGTTTTACTCACTAACTAAACACCATCAGCATCTGAACTCCAGTTGTTGCTGTGTGAGTGTTTGAATGTGCCTGTTGTGTGGGAGCTCCCAGGGAACTGTGACTGTTGGATTTGTGAAAAGGCCTGTGAGTGACAGGCACCAGGCAGTGAAGAGGGGGTTTCTAGTGCGTACGTCTGTGTTTGGAGGAAGGGGGGGGTATGATCTGTGTGATTCTTTCTTACTCACTGCCTGAGGTCAGAAGGTCTGTCCATTCAGCTCTGAGGTCATGCATGAGTTGTCTCGACATTTCTCTCACTTGTCAGAAAGTGTCCAACTCTTCGTGTCTTTCTCTCTCTGTCCTCTCAGCGTCAAAGCAGTTTGCTGAGGAGCTGCTGCAGAGCCATAATGAGTACAGGAGGAAGCACCAGGCTCCTCCACTGAAGCTGAGCGGAAAGCTGAGCAGAGAAGCTGCCCGGTGGGTTAACCAACTGTACACACACACACACAAATCAACTCGTAAACCTAATGAGCACGGGCTCTGTGAATCAGTCATTGTCAGAGTTCAGTGGAGGACTGTGACAACTCCAGCTGAGCCTGTCCAAAACAATAACACCAGCATGTTGTATACCTGGGATTGGATTACGGTTTAGACTGACAATTCTGCAGGTGCATGAAACTGTTATTTAAATTAGGTGAAATAAAGCAGTATTTCAGCTATATCTTCCAGATCATACATCTTTGAAGATGTTAGTTTACTCTCTTAAGTCTTCGGTAAACTAGTGTTGCAAGTGTTGTTAAAAAACAATGAATACAACTACCTAGGAGTTTCTACCATAAAGGTTCATTCTCAGTAATCCAGGTAGAAAAATCCAATAACAGCATTTTAAGAGGGGGACAGTTGGACACGTAGCTGTAGTCCTCTGCCCTTGTTTAACTATGGATGGATTTCTTTTCACAAAGATTGCTTGCGTCACTCCTCTCTCAAACCACCGTTCCTCTCAATCAAGGATGTGCTCGTCTTCAACCCTGAAAGAGTGGCCGCTGGCCTGCAGATTAGTGTAAATTTCTGTGTGGAGTTTGCATGTTCTTTTTGTGCTTGCGTGGGTTAGGCCCAGGCCTCCCTAGCAAAAGAGATCTGTGATGTCAAATGGGATTTGCCTGGCTAAATAAAATTAATGAAAACTGCAGAGCCCTGACCTAATAATGTTGCTCTTCTGTGCTGGGCCATTCTTTTGGCTAGTGGCTGTTCAGTTTCCCCGATGTAAGACTGATCACAGCCCTCCTGGCACTGAACAGCATATACAATATTACTCTGTGTTGGAGGACTGGATCTTTTGGATGGACCAGTCTTTGCCATAATGTATTTTGGGGGTTGAAAACCACTGGGAAGTCCATCCATCCATCCATTATCTTCTGCTTGTTCCAAAGTCGGGTTGTGGGGGCAGCAGCTTGAGCAGGGAGGCCCAGATGTCTCCTTCCACAGCCACTTCTTCTAACTCTTCTAGAAGGACTTCAAGGTGTTCCCAGGCCAACCGAGAAACATAGTCGCTCCAGCTTGTCTTGCGTCTTCCCCAGGGTCTCCTCCCAGTTGGACATACGGACGCACCTCCCGAGAGAGGCACCCAGGAAGCATCCTTACCAGATGCCTGAACGACCTCAATGGCTCCTTTTGGTGTGGCGGAGCAGAGGTTCTACTCCGAGTCTCTAACTGAACTTCTCACCCTTTTTCTAAGTGAGACTCCAGCTACCCTGCGGAGGAAACTCATTTCAACCACCTATATCCACGACCTTATTCTTTTAGTCACTACCCAGAGCTCATGACCATAGGTGAGGATAGGAATGTAGACTGACTGGTAAACCTAGAGCTTTGTTTTACAGCTCAGCTCCCTCTTTACCACAACAAATCGGCACAGTGTCCGCAATACTGCAGACGCTGCACCAATCCGTCTGTCGATCTTGCGCTCCATTCTTCCCTCACTCGTGAACAAAACCCCTGAGATACTTGAACTCCTCCACTTGAGCAGAACCCTAAGAGAGCAATCCACCCTTTTCCAACTGAGGACCATGGTCTCAGATTTGGAGGTGCTGATTCTCATTCCAGCCACTTCACACTCGGCTGTGAACTGTTCCAGTGAGAGCTGAAGATCCCGGCACGATGACACCAACAGCACCACATCATCTGCAAAGAGCAGAGAAAGAATCCCGAGGCCATTGAACCAGAAACCCTCCACCCTCTGGCTGCACCAAGAAATTCTGTCCATAAAAGTTATGAACAGAATCAGTGACAGCGGGCAGCCCTGGTGGAGTCCAACTCCCACCCTGAAAGGGTCCGACTTAATACCGGCAATGCGAACCAAATTCTCGCACTGCTTGTATAGAAACCGAACAGCCTGTAGCAACGGGCCCCCAATCCCATACTCATGGAGCACGCCCCTCTGTGTACCTCAAGGAACACGGTCAAAAGCCTTCTCCAAGTCCACAAAACGCATGTTGACTGGACAAACTCCCATGACCCCTCAAGGACCCTAGTGAGGGTAAAGCATTGGTACAGCGTTCCACAGCCAGGACTGAACCCACATTGTTCCTCCTAGATCTGAGGTTCAACCCATGATTGGACTCACTTCTCCATTACCCCTGAATAGACCTTACCAGGGAGGCTAAGAAGAGTTATGCCCCCATTTTTTGAAGAGGGGAACCACCACCCCAGTCTGCCAATCCAGTGGCACTGCCCCCAATGTCCACTCGATGTTGCAAAGGCATGTCAACCAAGACAGCCCAACAACATCCAGAGCCTTAAAGAAATCAGGGTGACTCTCATCCACCACCAGAGCCCTTTCACCAAATAGCTTTTAACTACCTCGGCGACCTCAGCTACAGTTATGGACAGACGAAATCCAAAGTCCCCCGACCCGGCTTCCTTCATGGAAGACATGCCAGTGGGATTGAAAAGGTCCGAGAAGTATTCCTTCCACCTCCCAACGACATCACTGGTTGAGGTCAACAACACGCCACCTTCACTGAACACAGTGTTAGTGAAGTGCCACCTTCCCCTCCTCAGCCGCCTGGTGGTTTGCCAGAATCTCCTCGGAGACGACCAATAGTCTTTATCCAAGGCCTCACCACTGGGATGTCTTGTTTATAAAATAAACATCTCAGTTTCTCTGAAATTCCCACAACATACAAAATGACCACTGGTCTAGGACTGGGTTCCTCCTTTTTCACCTGATGATCAGCTGGAGTTCTGTTTGGGTTTCTTCTCAGCTTTCAGGAAGGCCCAGTTAGGATATTTACATTGCTCCAGGGCCGGTCTTGGGTAGGATTTATCCTTCTGCCTGGCTCCTGAGTTAGTGGGGAAGCTGTCCGCTCTGTGGTACAGCATCCTGATGACTCCTAACTTGTGCTCCAAAGGGTGATGAGAGTCAAACCACAAATACTGGTCTGTGTGGGTGAGTTTGTGATACACAGCAGTTTGCAAATAATAATAAACCCTGCTCCATTGCTGTGAGCCTTGCTGCCCTTACACTTGGTCTCTTGGACACATAAAACATCTACCTTCCTTCTCTGCATCCTGTTACCTAGCTCTCTTCATTTGCCTGTCATTGTCCCCACATTTAGAGTTGCCATCTTTAGTCCTACATTCTTGACTTTCCTCTTCTCCATCTGCCGACACATTTTCTTCCTATGATTTAATAAAATGCCCTCCTCCTCTTCCTCATCTTGCTAACACCATTGGGTTAAGATCATAAGTTTTAATTTATATCAGCATATTTGTACAATTACCATTTTCAATTAAAGTAACAGGTTTCTTCAAATAAACACCCCAAAATGGGGACATATAAGACAACTTGTCAACCTGTGCTGTAAAGATTTCATAAAATGTTTTCTCAGTCTGCATCTGCATGACAGATTTATAATTACCAGTAAAGTCTCTCATAGCTGTACCTGCATGATTGGGTTTTCACTTTATTTGTTAATGAAGGCTGAAGGAACGTAGCAGGATCGTTTTGCATGAGCATCAACATTATGTACATTTATTTCTCTTTCTGCCAGTTAAACCTAATGAGCATCTTCTGCACTTAAAACGGAACAGCAGGGAAACTGTAGATACCAATTACTCATGTGCTGTTAGGCATGTGAAGTGAAAAGTGCTGCTACATCTCCTATATGGAACATAATGAGCCTTTTTTATTTTTAAGTAGGGGGAATTCGGCTGAAATGGGTCACTTTTTTCACTTGATGGTTTAGAAAACTTTTCAATTAGCTCTGTTTTGAGTTCAATAGTACTTTTTATGAATTTGTTGTATGTCGCTTCATTAATTATAGACTAGAAATCTTTGGCAAAGTATAAATGTTTCAAAATTGTAAGAGTTGACATATTGGAAAGTTGACATTAGAGCAATAACGCAATGATCAGCTAAAATGGGCCGACAAAAAAAACCAAACTGCAGTTTCAGCTGAAGTTCTTGTAATTTTAGCTTATAAGGAACTTTTGGTTTGCCACATTTACTGTTGTAGTACATTTATTCATGGAAATTTCTTTCTTTAAAAAAATAAAAAAAATGTTCCTATGTCAAGAGCATGGTGGTGTGACATCTGCTTCAAGTTTTAACTCTTAAGATTTTTTTGCAAATTAAAACATCATCTTTATCATTACCATGTTTGCAGCTCTCATGGTGCAAACAGCTGCATTCATTCACAATGCATAATGATTTTTGGGGGGCTTTAACTTTATCTAATGTTTGGACAAATTTTATAATTTGACGTTTGTTACTGCGTCAGTTCCCATACAACTTCATTTCGCTCAAAAAGGAGGCAATAACAGTAACAACACCTTTTTTTAAAAATGTTAAACCTTGTGTTTTTGCCAACATGATTAATTATTTAACTGGTACACACCAATCACAAAATACATAACTTCTGGGAATCCATTTTTATGTTGGTCCTCAACACAGCTGTTTTTGGTACAGACTGTCTGGAATTTTTTTTTAAAGCTCCAAAATAAAAATAGTAATTTCTCATGTTTTGTGTGAAATATCTAAGTTCATTCTCAATAATCCAGGTAAAACATCCAAAAAGGTTAAGTCAGGTCATCTGAAAGATTTCTTTTTTTTTTTTTTTCTTTGGTGAGACATTTCGTCCTTCATCCCAAGGACTTCATCAGTCCGAGGAGCCACAACAAACTGTCCCACAAGCAGCACACACATAGTGGTCAAACTAGGGGTGCACCGATTGCAGTTTTCTGGCCGATCACAGATCACCGATTTCTAAAAAGTCTGACCTGCCGATTCCGATTTTGTTTTATTAGCGACGCTGTCCGGTGTTATAAGGTCACAATGCACCTTCAATTTTCCAATCTTATTTTATTGAAAACATACCCTTGAACAATATCTTAGAAAGAATACAAACTTTTTTTAACTGGCCATGAGGTAGCGCTGTGAAATATAAATGAAGTTCAGACAATTGTTGTTAAAACTACAAAAAAATTGGTTTCTCATGCAAGTATTGACCGAGACCGCACATCTAGGACAAACCAGTTTGCTGGTGATAGAAACTGTCCGGATGACCTGACTTAAACTTGTTGTATTTTTTTAACCTGGATTATTGAGCATGAACTTTGATGTTTTGAACCACTTTAGCTATGCTGCCTCAGAGGAGAAAATGGGGAAGAGGGTGGGCCCCAGAAACCATCTTATCACCAGCAAACTGGTTGGCCCACTATATGTGAGTGCTGCTTGTGGGACTGAGTTTGTTGTGGCTCCTCAGACTGATTGTTGGATTTGGGTAAAATAGTTTATTTCTCTCAGATGTAGGTGAGCAATCTAGCCTAAAAAAGCAAAAGAGTTTATGCATGTGGACACATGTTGAGAGCTAAACTGTCCAACTCTGAGTTACTTCATAAAAATCTATTGTAGTATGATTTAAAGGCCTAGCATTGCCTCATTTCATGGCAGTTTTAATTCAAGATGGCTGCGACAGAAACCTCCTGCAAAATGTGTTGATGCTCATTGTATGACCTTCAGATACTAAAACACCCTATTTGTGCTCAATATTTGTACAATTAACTGAGTTATAGCCCTTCATGTATTGGGTAATGTCAGTTTACTGTGGTGGCTATCTTGATTTGGGATTGCTCCAAAAGTTAATCACTTGTAGATGTCAACACAGTTATTACTTTCTGAAAGTTTCCTGATGCATGCTCAATAATCCAGGTAGATAATCTAACCAGGTTGAGTCAGATCCTCGGTACGGATCCTTCTTTGTTGAAACGTTGCATCTTTTTATCCAAAAGATCTTCAGTCTGAGGGCCTGCAAGCAAACTTAAGCAGCACCTTCTCATAGTGTATCTCAACCAATTTGCTGATGACAGCTAAAATAAGTTGTTCACATGCAAATGGGGGACCATCAGCCTAACAATTGATTGTTAGTGCTCTGATGTTTGGACAGTTATGTTTACTGCAAACCCACCCACACCTCCTGCTGGAGCACAAGTTAGGAGTCATCAGGACTCTGTACCACAGAGCAGACAGCATCCACACTAACTCAGGAGCCAGGCAGAAGGAGAAATCCCACACAAGACAGGTTCTAGAGCAATGTGGATATCCTAACTGGGCCTTCCTGAATCAGAGAAGAAACCCAAACAGGACTTCAGTCAACCATCAGGGAAAAAGGAGTAACCCAGACCCAGACCAGTGGTCATTCCATATGTTGCAGGAGTTTCAAAGAAATTGAGACATTTATTTTCTAAACATGACATCTCAGTGACTTTTAAACCCCAAAATACATTACGGCAAAGACTGGTTCATCCCAAAGAACCGGTCCCCCAGCACAAACAAGAGTAACATTATGTATGCTGTTAGTATCAGACTTCTGTAAATAGCAAGTGGCCTTCAGGGCACCAACATCAATTGTTTGGCTGATGGTCCTTGGTTTGCTTGTGAACAACTAGTTTTGTTGGTCACCAGCAAACTGGTTGATCCACTGAGAGAAGGTGCTGATTATTTGGACTGTTGAAGCTCTTCAGACTGAAGAAGTCTTTTAGATAAAAGATGAAACATTTCAACAAGAAGAATCTATCCAGAGGACCTGACAAAAGCACAAAGACACAAGTTGTCCTTACACGTTTTGTTTAGATTCATGCTTTTATTTAAAGTGAAGAACTCTTGAAACAGCACTGTATGAATTAAAACTGATTATTTCTTTCAGTTATGCTGAAAGTCTGGCGAGCACTCGGATCCTGAAACACAGCGAGGAGTCCAGCAGGGGGAGCTGTGGAGAAAACTTGGCATGGGCCTCATATGACCAAACAGGTACACACACACTAAAACATCTGTTGATTTTAGTGACAAGACACTAATGTTTCAACTTTGAACGAATTCTGTGGTGCTTTTTCTATAAAATGGATGTTTTTTTTAATTAAAAGATGATAAGCTAATAAAAAATAAAACTCTATTTTGCTGTAGAGTAAGAACATTAGTCCTGTCTGTGAGGCTTAAAGCAGATTTTTTTTTTTTTTTTTTTTTAAGCCAACTGTCGCTCGCTGCAGCTGAACAGCTGGAGTCTATTTCCCTTCCACTTCAGTAACCGTGACTCACGGCACAAAAATCTCAGCACAGCCTAAATATTAACGAAACAGTTTAATATTCTGTGACAAAACTATAAACTACATGAGCATCCCGTGCTCCGAAGGAATTTCTCCCTCGCAGGTGCCGTCTGCTCTCACATTTAAACATTTGACACATGATGGAAAAAAAAAACTAGAAACTAGAAAACTAGAAACTGGCGCCACATTAATTTTGTCTGCTGTTCTCGCAGGAAAGGATGTGGCGGCTCGCTGGTATGACGAAGTGAAAAACTACAACTTCAGCCACCCCGGATTCTCCTCCGGCACTGGTGAGATTCACACTTGTGGATTGCCGCCTCATGTTTTGTCTCTTGTCCTCGCTGTCTCAGTTTATCTGTCACTTGCTCTGCTTCATTCTGTTGTTTTCTGTTGGCTCGTAGTCACGTTCACACTCTGGGTGTCACATTTACATGTAGGCATCAGGGAGGTTTGTCGTTATTTTGATGCTAACGTCAGTGTGTGACTGCCTGACTTGGTGATCGTCCATGTGGGAAGGGGGGGCGGTGTCATGATTATATCACTCCTGAACTCGTGGGCCTTATCCAGTCTGCTTCAGATAACCCTGAGCAGACACGAGTCTGAGTCAGTGCAACTTTATTTTACCCAGGAAGCAAGGTGGCGACTCACTGATTCATTTTCTGTTTAAAAAAAAAAAAATAACTAAACAAGACTTGACAACAGAGTTGTAGCTGTTTTTGGTAAACCTTGAAAATAATCCATGCATAACCTCATGCACTATTTCAAGATGTGCTCAGATCATGTGTTATGAATGACTCTCCGCTACTACCACACACATTTTTAGCTCAATATTTTTTCAAACTGACAGAGTTGTAGCTATTTTTGTGTTTGCTAAGGTCTGTTGGCTGTGTGTGTGTGTGTCACCATTTTCAATTGGATAAACTCCAAACGTTTGAGTCCGAGTCAGAGATTCTTTGTCATTCCCACCTCATGTGGTACATGTGGTGGAGCGAAATTATGTACACAGGGTCTCAGTTACTTTGTACATCCAACAATAAAATGTAAAGGAAACAATGATAACATCTAAGATATGACCTAAGAAAAACATCAACTAAATATACACTAAGCACTAATAGCATAAAAACATTACGTCGAACATCAGCACAAACCTGAACACGAGTCTGTGTGAGCAGATGAGCACGCATGAACACACCAACATGAAACGGATCAGCAGCAACATGAAACGGATCAGCAGCAACATGAAACGGATCAGCAGCAACATGTGATTTTTCACAGTGATTGTTCTGGTTAGAGATTCATGAGCCTAACAGCCTCAGGGTAAAAGCTGTTCTTCAGTCTAGTGGTTCTACACTTGATGCTCCTCAACCTCCTTCCTGAGGGAGCGGGGCAAAAAGTGTGTGTGCTGGGTGAGTGGGGTCCTTCATGATGCAGGTGGCTCTTTTCCTTCATCTGGAGGTGTAGATGTCTGTGATGGTGGGGAGACTGACTCCAACAGTCTTCTGTGCAGCCTTCACCACTCTCTGCAAAGCTTTTCTTTCTGCAGCTGTGCAGCCTCCATGCCACATGTTGATGCTGGAGCACAGGATGCTCTCCACTGCACACCTGTAGAAGGAGGTGAGGACTGAGCTTCCCAGACCAGCTCGTCTCAGCTGCCTGAGGAAGTAGAGTCTCTGATGAGCTTTCTTGATCAGGCTGGTGGTGTTGTTGCTCCAGCTGAGGTTGTCATTCATGTGCACACCCAATTACTTGTAGCTGGAGACCACTTCCACCGCAGGTCCTCTTATGTTCAGGGGGGTGGAGGTGTTTTTGTTCCTTCTGAAGTTCACAATCATCTCCTTTGTCTTCTTCACGTTGATGTGAAGGCTATTCTCTTTGCACCAGCTCTCCAGGTGTTCCACCTCTTGCCTGTAGTTGGACTCATCATTGTTTGTGATGCATCCCACCACCGCTGTATCATCTGCAAACTTTACAATGTGACAACCTGGACGGGTAGCTGCACAATCATACGTGAGCAGAGTAAACAGGAGGGGGCTCAACACACATCCCTGAGGAGAGCCAGTGCTGAGGGTTATGGTGGAGGAGGAGAAGTTGTGGATCCTCACTAACTGTGGTCTATTTGTTAAGAAGTCTAGTACCCAGTTGCAAATGGAGGGGCTTAGTCCTAGTGTGGATAGTTTGTCCATCAGGGTTTGGGGGATCATGGTGTTGAAGGCGGATGTGAAGTCCACAAAGAGCATACGGACGTAAGAGTTTTTCTGCTCCAGGTGGTTGAGCGCAGTGTGGACCACAGAGGAGATGGCATCCTCTGTTGATCTGTTCTCACGGTATGCATACTAATGAGGGTCCTCGTTGTTGATGATGGTTGTTTTGATGTGAGTCATGACCAGTTTTTCGAAGCATTTAGCGACTATCTGGGTGAGGGCCACTGGCCGATTGATTCTAGATGTATGATTATTTTCTTAAGGTTTCATTAATATCCATCTAGTGGTTAATGGTATATTTTGCTAAATGACAAATGGGACTGACTCAAACAGTTAACGCTAAAGTTTTAAAGGAAGAAATTGCACACTGAGTAATCCTTGGAGCTACAACTCCAGTTAATTTTAGCACAGTATTGGTAAAATGTATTGAATCGACAGACTAAGGCCTGTTGGCTGTGGCAGTTATGTTGAATTAAATGTCTTCCATTCCTAATCAGTTGTGGAGGTACGTCCAATGAATATTTCCTGAAAGCTTCATAAAACATTGACATGACAAACATATGCACACAGACACAAGCAAAATATTATCATCTGTCTTCACTTATTAGTTAGTGGGTGATTAAAAAAAAAAAGAGTTTAGAATAAAAATTCCTCCTTTTTGTAAATGTTTAGGTGAACTCAAGGGCCTGAGCACTCATGTTGAAATGCGTTTCCTACTCATCCTCTCCTGTTTTATTTCTTATTTTTTCTCGTCTCTTCTTACTTCCTTTCTACTTTTGACGTCTTCTGTTCTCAGGTCATTTCACAGCCATGGTGTGGAAGAGCAGCAAAGAGCTGGGTGTTGGAAAGGCCTCCGCATCAGACGGCTCTTCCTTTGTGGTGGCCAGATATTTCCCAGCAGGGAACATCACAAACAAGGGACACTTTGAAAATAATGTCCTCCCGGCTAAAACCAGCTCTTGAAGAGACGTGGATCTTCTTGACTCGACTCCATTTATTTTTTTTTCCGTATTACAGAAGAGACGCTGTCCGACTGCGCTGCTGTGGAGAATACTCTGGACTGCAGCACATCTTGCTGGATAGAAAGCCATACTGCACTCGTGTATGGATGAAACTAACAGAACCATGTAGATCATGTGGTCGGTTACCTCTGACAGTATTTTATTCACTAATGTCTTTAAAATCTTTTTTAAAAACATTAAAGCATAAAATTGTTTATTGTATAGGAGTGTGCGTTAATTTACAGAAACAAACCATCTAAACAGGGATGTTTTAGGTTTTTTTTTTTACTCATAGATTGTGAACAGCCAATATCTTACCTGTTGTAGATGGCTCGGATTGTTGAGCTAGCAGTGATATTCTGAGCGCTAGAACCATTAGCTCATCAGTTTAGAACTAAAGTCTGTTTCTTCAAGCTGAGCTCGTTCAAAGAGCTGCGTACAAAGGGTTATTTATGAATTGTTCACAGCTTTTCCACATAACTCCTCTTCAAAAGGTCTGAACTATCCCTTTAGCTTGGAGACATTGCTGTAACTTGAAGCAGATGACCAGACTTGCTTGGAATGAATGTTTGTGTTAGTTCCTCTTCTTGTCAAACCAGGCGGAGCAGTCCCACGCCGTCTCACACTCATCCGTTTTGTGCAATAAAGTTGGGAAATTGTCAAAGTATTTGTTTGGCAAACAGCAGGAAATGAGTTTCATTTCCAAATGACTCACGCTCTGACATTTTTATTTCCACATTGTTAAAACTTGCAAATGTTTTGGTAAATTTATTAGATTGCAGTCTGTTTTATTACTCCCAGCTCTTGGCTTGTGCATATATAAACAAAATAATGTCTGTTTCATTAAATACTAAATCAGTTGTTCTTTGAGCAAATAAAGATTTCTTTCCATAATAAGTCTTTGGAAGAGATGAGAAGTGTTTTGTTTTCGATTGTTTATATGTAGGGGAAAAAAAGACTATCGTCTCTAAATTAGAAGCTTATCTTGAAAAGAACATAAAATGTCATGAGCTGTCACGCTCAGAGCATAAGTTATAAATGAGTTTGCAATCACTGCATCAAATTGAACCTCAATATCTGTAAAACTGACTGAGCTAAAGCTGCTTTTTGTTTTGGCTAATGATGATTAGCTGTTGTGCTCTTGAGTTATATTGACAGCAAACTGTATTCCAGTTGTAAATGCACATCCAGGTTTTTTTTACATGATGCTCAGAGTATGTGTTGAAGATGACTCTCAGCTACAACTCCACCAAACTTTTAACACAATATCTCTACAAGTGACTGAACTAAAGCCATTTTTGTGTGTTCTAAACTCATAAGGCTCTGATGGCCATCTTAAAGGATGTTGGCTCTAAAGCATAATCAGTTGTAGGTGTATATCCAATGATTAATTTCTGAAAGTTTCATTAAAATTCATCAAGGGTTTCATGAAATATTTTGCAAACAGATGTGTGAATACACATCTTGATATGACTTGTGTCACCCCTTTTTAGTAACAATAATATATTTGTGATTTCTGCAGGTTATTATTTTTTTTAATTCCTTTTAGTAAAATCAGTCTCATGGTTCAGTCACGCTGGAACAGACTTTATTTAGCAGATATTTGGGGATGCAACTTACAGCAGCAGCGATACAGAAGAGTACAGTTTAGGCTTTAGAAAGGCTGGAACAAGGGAGTCGGGGATCAGATTGTCCTCGGTCCTCACTCACATGGTCAGCTCCTGCATTTGAAGAAAATTATTTTAGCCACATCAAAATTGTACTGATTCATATAATTTTTCAGTCCTACTTTAAAAAAAATTACACATCAGGCAAATCATGGTAGCTTTTTGCTGCCATCTAGTGGTCATAAGGTCATATTGCAGGAGGAGGGGGCTTTTCAACATAAATGTAGTTCTTGTCATTTATTATCTGCTCTTTCTGTTCCCATCCCTCCCTGCTATGACTTAGTGTTTTGGTTTGCCTTCCCTCTATCCCACCTTCGTCCTTACCATGATAGCATTCACAATGTCGTTCTTGTTGTGTTTCAGCGCACGTACGGCCTTAGCTCGGGACACGTTGGCCTGAGCCATTACCAGCTCGATGTCTCTTTGCTCCAGACTCCCATCATCAATCTGATATGCAGAAAAACACAAAGAAATATAAACAAAAGCAGCACTTTTAGGTTTGAAGTTGCACTCACAGCTGTTCATACCTCCTCCTCATCCTCCTCTTCGCTCTCTTCCTTGATGGTGAGACGAGGTGGGACCAATGGGGCTAATGGAGAGGAGGACACAGGCACCTTGAATTTCTCTGCCGCTGCTTTGTGAGCTTGCTGAGACAAGTCCTCAATCTGACAAAAGAAAAGGAATTAGAGAGGCGAATCAAGAGTCATACCGAACTTAATGGAGCTTCAATGTTCAACGAAGTGGGGCTGATGTACCTTTGCCTCCCCAAATACAATATAAATGTCTGACATGGGGCTTTTGAATACATCTGGTCTGCTGATGACAAACAAGATACTTTTGGACTTTCTGATGGTGATTCTGGTCACTCCATGGACTGGTTTCAGACCCAGTTTAGACATGGCCTACAGGCAGAGTGAGAACTGGAGATTAAAACTTCGTGTCATCCAAACTCATACACAGCTTATCTTATTCTCGACACAAAGTTTGATCAATTTATTTGAATATAGCAATATATAGTCTGACCTTGCGAGCCTTCTTCTCGCTGCGGCTCTGTTTTGGTCTGTTCAGTCCTTCATCCGCAGAGGAGATGCACTAGAAGAAAAGTCATTGACTTTATTCTAAGAGTCTGTGATGTTTCGATTTCTTGTTAGTTTGCCGATTTAGCAAAAGTCATGTCTGATAGTATGACTTAAAAGCAGTTGACAAGAAGGAATACTTTGTCCTTGTAGCTAAAACTTCAACAGTTTGATTAATGTTCTGCTTTATCAAAGTAAATACAAAGAAAAATATCTGAAATATCTAGTTATCAAAAACAAACTAACATCTTAAAGTTAGTTATCAAACGTTGATGACTAAAAGTGGACTGCAAGTAGAATATGGAAAAAAGGCAGTATGTATAATGACCATACAGTATATTCAGACTGCCAAACACTAAATATGAACTTATATTAATATACTCTGATATTACTTTTAAGCCATCAGCAAGCTAACAAACAATACCTTAAACTTTTCAATAAGCAAACTGTTTTTTCAATAACAATGAAGGAGTGGTGCTATTAGAGCCAGATTTGGTCAAAACTGCAGAATCCTGTTCATGTGTTAGGCATTCATCATCAACTACAAAACAAAACATTTATCTCAAAAGAGAAAAAAAAAATACTGTAACAGAAAAGGCACACGTAATTTTAATTTTTAGTCCAGAGACGGGCAAAAAAATATATACATAGAATGTATAAATACATATCTAGCACCTGGATACAAACAACACTACCCTTAAATTCCAGAAAGCATAAACTTAAACATATTTCCAAATTATTAAATCTCAGCAACACCTCAAACACTGTTAAAACAACGTTTTATTAAACCAGAATTTAAACACGTCTTTTCTGACATTTCATATCTGTTACAGCATCGCAAAATACTCAGCAGAGCAATGGCGGTCACTGTCAAAGCCGTAAAGCAAACTCGCCTGTGGTTCTGATGGACACATCGGCTCCAGCTCTTCGAGGTCAGGCACTGACCCTTCACTTTCAGACTCATTGCAGGAAGCCAACATAGAACCTGCACAATGAATTATTACAAAATATACTCAGTAAAAGTGTGATATTTTGATACCATTAGAAACGTATAACTTTTGGTGTGGTGACTAATGCCATGCTAATGAAGTGTAGTTGTTATAAAAGGTCAAAGTACCACCAGTGGGTAAGTCAGTCACTAAATCTGATGATGGGAAATAACTTAATTACATTTCTGTAATGTGTAATTAAACACAATGCAGAACTGGAAACAACAAAATAGTCAAGGTGTTTCATTTTGTTGACTTTTTTTCACTTTATATCATTGCTTTATATTCAAACACACAAATGATAGAAAGTAAATTGGGACAGAAAGAATATTGGAGAATTTAACAGAGAGCTTACAAATTTAGGCCATTTCTCTGCCCCACAGGACATATAAAAAACAACTTACAATTGTTCTGAACAGTTCGATCAATCTCCTCAGAAATGTTGCGGCTGACTGGACAGTCTGACTGTCGGTCAGTCAGGTGCCGAGTGGAGAAGGGCTGGATTTCTTGGTGATTGGCTGGAGAAGACTCCTTCTGCACCAGTCCAGCAGCTCCCCTGGTCTGAGATCTCTGACCCTGTTGGTGCTTTCCACCATCATCCTTACTGTCTGACTCCTCTTCAGCCATTGAAGTTCCTTACAGAGCACACAAAAACAGTTATTTTGATGCTGCAAAGCTCACATGTGAATGTTTTATTACAGTTCAAAAAACAACAGATCAAAAAAGACTATTCTGTTTTCGCAGATGCAAGCTGGTGATTATTAAATGAATAAGGAATTACTTTGTTTGTATTAGTCTAGTTTCATCTTATTGAGCTTTATTTTACTCACCTCTGCATCTGTCCTTGCTGACCCCAGTCTGACCTTGCCTGTTTTGTTTATGGGATTGGATGCTGACATTAGTCTGAGACTGCAAAGAAGACTGAGTATATGGACGGGAAGAAGACTCAGGAATGCATACTGAGTCCAGAGTCCCTGTCTCCTGGGTAGCTTGGGACAAGATTAAAGGCATGGCAGTGGACAATGAAGGTGAAGTGATGCTTGTAGCTGAAAATACATCAGTGAAGTCCTGGATATTGTTGTTTTGGGGAAATCCAGACTCGTGGGATGGCTGTGTCATGGGAGAAGTGGTGAAATGGGCTGGAGCGGTCTGACACATGGAGAGTGAGGATTGTTGTTGAGCTGAGAGGACAGGTTGAGATTCCTGAACCGGTGTGGACAGACCATTCATTGGCTCCATTGAGGCAGAAGGTACTGAGGAACAGGTTGAAGAGTAGGGAAGTGAAGCAGTATCTATGTTGTTGTCATTAATGTCTGTAGTTATTACCTTTTGAGTATCAGGTAATGGTCTGTTATCAAGCACTTCTTGATTCTGATCTACATCTTGGTTCATTGCCACCACTGTATTGAGGTTGTCTTGAATGTTTTTGTTAGAATTACAGAATCCTTGTCTTTGACTTTTGACATCAGAACTGGGCCTGCTTCGCCCTTGGACCTTTGAACCAGATTCAACGTTGTCTGTCTCAGATATCCTCTGTCGGAACCCTGACGAAATGTCATTTGCATCATGACCTGTTTTAGCTTTAGAACTGTCTGTGATCCCCTTTGACAAGTTATCTTTCAGGGAATTTAAAGGAACAGGGGGCTTCTTTGGATCATCACCAGACTCAGGACTAAAGTCAGCATGACTTCCTGTCTGAGATGCTCTGTGTTTATTCTGCTTCCTTCTTCTCCCTTTCGTAACAGCAGCTTGTGTTTCTGTGCAAAGTCCACCCTTAGGTGCGTTCCAAGCAAACTGCTCCAAGTCATTTGGGGCAGAAGAGGAGATATTTTTATATTGAGTCCTCAAATTGTTTTCTTCATGTCTTTCTTTTATTTTGCCCTCCTCATCTTCATCCCCTGAGTTAAGAACAACATACTGCTTTCCAATAAAGGCATCTTTAGTATTTGGTTTGCCTACAGTTCCATCTGGTTTAAGACTGACTTTGCAGTCTCTTTGGCTCTCAGTCTGAAGCTGTGCTGTCTCTGTGACAGCATTTTCCACCTTGTCTTCACAAATGTGTCTTGGTCTAACAGTGCCTAATGCACATTTCGGAGTAAAGGACCCAAATGATCCCTGTGGCAAGAAAAATGCATTACTCTCTGGAGTGATAGACTGATGGTCAGGAGATGTATTGCATCTCAACTCAATTTTTCTTGGTGAATCAATGCATTTGTCTTTTGCAGCTGCATTTATATCGATGCCAATTGAAATGGCACAGACACCTTCCTTTATAAGATCAGTCTGCTTTGCATCTGATGTTTGGTTTATGTGGCTCTGGGATGCATCTGGTTCCACATCTGGAGTCTTGTCTGAAAGCTGAAGAGGCATCTCTTCAAGGGGAATATTAGATACTGATTCTCTGACACTGATATTAACACTCTGGTGTCTCACTTTATCCGACAGAGCATTCAGATTCCCATACATGCCTCCTTCCAAGGAGTCAAAGGCAGATTCACTTGAATTCTTCCAAGGGTCTTGCATTTGTGTGTCTCCGTTATTGTTATCAATTTCATCTGGATTTAAATTACTGACATTGTCTTCTGAAAACCTGGAGCTTTCATTTTCTCCGGAGCCTGCTTCTGAGAATTCCTTGATGGATTCCCAATGAGCCAAGTTGGACTCAGAAACTCCTTCTTCAACCAGCTCTCTCTCTGCCATTTGCTCATTCTTCCCACTCAGACTGTTGTTATCGTCCTCATCTAGAATAGAACCCAGAACATTGTCATAGTTCTCACACACTTCACTGTTCATTGCTCTTTGACTCTCTGTATCACACATAAGTAGGCTATCTGCCTCTATTTCATACCTGCTACCCAGAGACAAAGAAAGTGACTCTCCTGCTCCCCAAACACCAAACTCACTTACTGACCCATATCCTAGACCAAAACCCAACCCCATTCTAACGTCACACCATGCCCCAGCTTCATAACCCACCTCTCTGCTGGTGTCTGTCTCTGAATTTTCTCTTTTGGGTGAGATAGCAAGGGGAGAGTGTGAAGACCTAACAGCTCCTAGGACCCCCTCATCAGCACTCAGCATGTTCTCCCTTAGATTTTCCTGGGCAGAGTCACTGGGGCAGTGCTCAGGTGTTAGTACCAAGTTGTCAGTAAGCTCTGAAGAGACTTCAGTGGTGGCAGAAACTGGGATGTTACTGGGGTTGGGACTTTGGTCTTTAGGACATGACAGAAGAAGAGCCCCTTTATTTAGGTCATTGGTTGGAGTGACAGTATCCAGTGGAGGACCAGAGTCACCAATCCGACAGTCTCTACTGACAGGCTCAACTGAAGCTTTACTTTGATCAATCTCAATGTCAAACTTGCTGTTAATACTTGACTTACACTGGGATGTTCCTCCCACAGGCACATCATATTTAGCAGAGAAAGATTTTGATAATGAAACTCGACTTGCTCCAACAGTCCTTTGGCTTTCGAAGTGGCTATGACGAGGCTTGATGAGCAGTTTAAAAGAGTCTCTCTCAGGCTGGGTTGCAGGCTGTGCCTCTGTGTACTCAGAAGGCAGTTTCAAAGTAGCATCCTTCACTTTAGGTTTTTCCTTGGCCAATTGTTTTGGCAGTACTGAACTAGTCATTGACATTTCCTGTTCAGAAGTAGAAGGATGAGGAAAGTTTTTAGAGTCAGAAATAGGATTGAGTGATCTGTGAAAAGATAGGTTAAAATAAGGACTGTCCTTGGGTTCTTCAACAGGGTTACTAAAAAGGGCATTATTCATCACATTCCTTCTCTCCCCTCTCTCGTTTGGGTCAGTGAATGACTCTGGTTGACACAAACTTGCATCTAAAGTTAGAGACAGTTCCTGGATAACAGCTGGTTTATCTGTGCTTGACTGCAAAGTTGTTATTTCCCTTACTTGACTGGTTGTTTCAAATTCAAGGTCTGCTTGGGATGCGGGGATTATAGGCTCTGAACTAACATCTTTACTTTGAGCCACAATGGCTTCAGAAGCACAAACAATTCTGTGATCCACTTGCTCATCCAAACTTGGGTGTATGTGCAAAAGTTCATTTTGATCTGAAGTTTGTTGAGCTTCAGATTGGATTTCACTTGGACCAATGCCATCAGCTGGTATGGGTTCCAGTGATTGTGCATGCCTCTCAGTGCTGTACAAGCGCTCATCTTCCTCTCCGTTATAGGAGGCAGAATCTAAAGAGTCATCAGAGTCATCTTGAAAACAGAAAGAATCATCCAGCCCCTCATTGATAGATGTTTCTGAGAGTGAATGAAGAAAAGATCCTGAGCTGTCCTCATCTGTAGGATCTTCATCTGCTTTGCTATCACTCTCATCCTCATCTTCTTCTTCCTCTTCATCTTCTTCTTCTATAACTTTCACCTCTACTTCAGCATCCTCACCAGCCTCATCCTGCCCATTGTTTTCATCATTTTCCTCACCTTCATCGCTGTCAGGAGCAGCATCAGTATTGCCACCTTCATAATTGTATTGATCATTATCTTCTTCATCATTGCCATCCTCTACATCTGCCTCTTCTTCTCCTGCTGCATATGCATCAACATCATTTCTTTGACCTCTGTCATTTAGTTCTGTTTCATTCTCTTCCTCTGTGGGGAAGAGGGTGATTTCCATTGAATCCACTTTAAAGATTAAGTTGGTGTGAAGTGGGAAGGAAAGAAGGGAAGCAGGAATCATCCTTTCCTCATCTAGTAGATCATCAGCACATGCTGACTGTGACAGTATGAATGAGCTTGGACCAAGTCTATCAAAGGCTCCATGACAGAAAGCATCTAAGGGGAGGAGTGGTGAATCAGGGCTTAGGCTAGAAGAAGCCATAGTCATGTTTTCTGTATCAGGAGTGAAGGCAGTGGAAGGAATGTCTGGGTGGGCATCTATCTGTCCATAATGGTCATCTGATACACAATCATCCAGCTGCAATCTCAGGCCTATCTGCAAGGGTCTGGAGTACTCTGATTTCCCTACACTGGCTTCTTCCAGAGGACAAAGTGAACTTTCAGACTCCCTCCCATCTTCCTGAGAATCAATGCTGCTGCTGCTTCTTCCAGGGGATGCATTTTCAGTCACCCAGTAAGGACGGTTTGTCCCTCTGGAATTATTGGGCTCCTCTCCTTTAGGACCCTCATCTTCCTCAAGAATCACTGTATCCGTTAAACCTCGTTGTGAAATCAAAACAAAATCCTCACTTTGGTATCGGCAAAAATTGCTGGCCCTTTCCTCCTCCTGCTCTGAACTTAATCGTCCCTTTTCTTCACCAACTTCATCTCCAATCTCAGACAAAGAACCCACAAAGCAAGCAGGGGCCTCTTGTGTTTCTTCTACCAGAAGCAGGTTGGGGGAAATGGAAGGGGAGACGGAGGAAGTGTAAGAGGATGTCCAGCTGCCTCCTTCTGCTGTAATGTAAGAACCAGAAGGAGACGTAAGAGGAGAACAGAGGTCCTCACTGTCAGAGGGAGAGCCAGGGGAAAGAGGGGATGCTGGGGAGCCAGGATAGGAATGATGTTTAAGGTGTGAAGAGCGGGTAGTCACTTTGATTGGGGTGGAAGGAGCGGTGTAGTAAAGGTCTGGGTCAAGAGATGAGGGGACACCGACCCGTAAGGGATCAACTGTATAGGTTGGCTCAGAGAAGGACAGAGCAACTGGAGAAGACAGCTCTGAAACAGAGAGTGAAGGCACTTGATCTTGAGTGAGGGTCTGCCTGTCTTCCTTGATGTCTGATAATATGTCATCTGTTGTGGTGGAGGAGGCAGGGTGTGTGACAGAAGGCTCTACATGATCTTTGTCCTGATCCTCTGTTCTCTGGAGGATTTGTGAATGAGTTTCCTCATTAGTGGATTCCAAATCGGTCTCTTTTCTTTGTGCCTGAAGACGAGAAGAAAGTGGGATACTTGCTTGAGCACTCGGCTCAGTGAGAGGATTTGCCTTCTGATTTTCTGTTGTTTTGAGCAGCGTCTCCTCCCCCATAACCACTCTAGTGTCAATGGTCTGTGGTTCTTGATAGTCACTTTCCACCTCAGATCCAGTCAGAACCTATTCATAACACATTAAACAAACAAGTTAGTATGAATTTCAGCACAAAAATGCATGATATACCATATTTTCAGTAAAATTACCAACATACACAAAATGCACACCTTTATTCTCTCCATCTTAACAGGAATGTGGCGACCACACGGTCCATGACCTCCTAATTTTCCTGACAGTCTACTTGTTTTGCTGCGATGGTCAGAACCTTCAGGCTGAGGTCTTGGGTGACCAGACGAGCTGGGCTTCACGTGAAATAATCGTGGTCCGAATGGAGAAGTGCATGCTGGGAGAAGCTTCTGTGGAGTAGTGGGAGAAGGGCTGCAACCACTGTCATTAGGGGAGGAGCCACTGTCGCTCGGACTGGAGTCAGTAGATGGGTCCCTTGTCATATCTGGACAAAGAAAAAGAAAGTGAAAATAACTATTCAAATCATGAGAAGACAGGAAATTTAATTGTTTAAATTAAAGGTTATTTAGGATATAAGGCCTGTAGTTGATGGATGTAATCTACATTTTTGTAATGGTTATACTGTGCTTAGAATGTAAATCCTTCTTTAAACAATATTAAAAACAACAACAAAAAAAAAAAAAAAAAAAAACTGCTGGGTTGTTTGATGGCTTAATTGCTGGTTTAAAACTCTTAGGTTTTATACTGGGTTGATTTGACCAAAGTATGGGTCAAAAAGTTTCACCCAGTATTTGTGTTCATTCGTGCTCATCTGCTCACACAGACTCGTGTTCGTGCTGCTGTTCGGCATGTTGTTTTTGTACTACTATTGCTTAGTGTATTTTTAGTTTAGCGGTTTTCTTAGCTCATATCTTATTGCTGTTTTTCTTGTGCATTTTATACTTTTGTTGGATGTAACTGGGACCCTGTGTACACAATTTCCTTCCACCACATGTACCACATGTGATGCGCAAGACAAATAAAGACACTTTGACTTTGACTTTGAAAATTAGCTGCATCATTTTTCACACTCCACCTATTTGACCAAATCAAACCTGACTGGGCCACTGCTTAAGGATGTAAAATGTTAAATCAAAGCCGTAAAAACAACTTGTAAAAACTATTTAACCTTGTTGGTTTTGTGAAAAGTTTTAGTTTTCACTATACAATTCAATTCAATTCAATTCAATACACATACATCATATGCAGTCAGTTTTGGTTCATAAAATATTAGGTGATGCTAGCTAGCCAATGCCATTAGTGGTTAGCGTCAGCTACTGAGCCCAAGTTGTTAATTATCTAATAACTCAGATTTTGGGTTGCTCTTTTTAACTAAACTTTTTTCAGTGTCTAATCAACTTTACCTGGTATGCCTGGTCAAACTGATAACTCGAGATAAAATTAGGGCTGGCCCAGTCGAAATTTGACCCACAGCTGGGCTGCAAATAGGACTGTCTTTAACTCGGGGGTTTTAGTGTGTATTTCAGACCTGGAGTGTCCCAAATGTGATCATAATGCCAGTCAGAAAACTAACCGGAACACTGCAACTGACTAAGGGAAAAAAATTAGAAGTAACAAATTAATATTTAAAGAATGCTTAAAAAAAAACACTAAACTGGAATAAATCAGATTGTCTTCTGAGACAGGAGTGAAAAAAAAATAAGGTTTCTGATTGTGCACAACAAAATTTGCTTTTTTTCAGTTCTATTGTTATGCTAACATATACGGTAGCATAACTAGCAGCCATACACAAACTCTACTGAATTACAAAGCTCCTTCTCTTTTGCTTCTTTCACATCATTCTATCATCTTGCATCCTCAAGTGTCAGCATGAATTGGGAATTCATCGAGAGGAAATGGCAGGGCGAGATGAAGGAAGTGGGTTCAGCAGGCTGAGTGTGGGGAGACATTAGGATCAGGAAGAGGAGTGAAGGAAAGATGAAGATAAAGCAAAGATTGTTTCATTTTTGCTTTTTATCACAAAGCACTTTTAATATTGATGTGGGACTATGATACAAAATTCAGCATTCACTGAAATGATTCAAAAACTGTCAGACCCTTTCTCTTAGGAGAGAACAGAACCTCCATTTAACTGGGCTATCACCACGGTGACCTCAATCCACATCCTGATTGGCTATTATAACACAAGAGGTTCAGCTCTGTGCCAGTCACAAACACACACACACTCACACACAGCTTTGCTTTGCCAGGAACCAAGTGATCACATCACATTAACTTTCTGTTCTGTTGCTCCCTCTTTGCATCCCTCCCTCAAACAATCTCTTAACCTCTTTCTACCTAATCCTCCCTTTCATCCAGCTTTGCACATGTATGTAGAGAGCAGCACTTGGTGATGACACATCAGTTGCCATACTCAGTATTATTTCAGGGATTTCTATTTATTTATTTATTTTAGCCTCTTCCCTTGATGCTGTCCTGCCCTGCCTGAGGTGGTGGCGGATGCTCGCGTCAGCACTTAGCAGTCCTCTCTAATCATTGCCTCAGTGTTATGCTAAATGTGTATTTGTGCATGCTGAGTCATACCTTAGAGATAAAACTGTTGGGGGAAAGAAAGATGCACAAAAAGCAACCGCTAATCTGCATTTACAAGTGCGGTGCAGCCTATTATCTGCATAATGTTCGTATCCTCCTCGTGTCATTGCGCAGTACATAAATAGTCACCATGTGGACAAGTAGGCATGAAATAAATGCTCTTAAGTAATATCTGATTGTTAAAGAAAATCAAGCAAGACAACATTAATCATTTGTGATTTAGACAAGTTTTCGTACCAGGCACAAGAAACAGACTGGTTTTGTGAAGGATGTTAAAATACTCCAATGAATTCCAGATCATCATTATTTCTACAATGAGTCCTGCATGGAAGGATGCAGTAAAAAAAAAAAAAAAAAAAACTAGCATCATGTTTTGTTGTGGAAAAATCAGGCCGCAGCAAGTTGAGAACAGTGGAGCTGCGTCACAGAGGCTGCAGCGCTACCCTCAAGGGGAGCCTGCATTTGAGCTGCAGCTCAGATTGAGCTCTGAAGAACAGACACCTCACAAGCATCACATGCTTCTTTGGCTTTCTACAACACCGACAATTCACATGTGTGAAGGTGAATTTAAAAAGTCTAATTTTTAATCAACTAAATGGTTAATGTAAGTTGTAATCTGAGCATCAGTCCCAATCAACTAACAGCCAATCAACTCTCTTCATCCTCTCCACACCAGCTATGATGGAAATACATTTTACATTCAAGAACAAAGTAGTGAAATGATTAAAGGATGAAATACAACATAGTAAACCAGTCAAAAATATATGTAAAAAGGAAGCGATCTTGTTTTGTCATCATCAGGAACACAACGAATTGTCCAGTATCTCGTTGGTTCGTGTGTTGCGGAGTGCCCTGCCATGCTGCTGTGTCATGTTCCTGTCGAGGCTGGGGGAAGGGAGGAACTGCTGGGCTCTGCTTACAGCGGTGTGGACTGGATGTGAATGTGGTTCGATGATGGGGTGGAAGGAGAGAGGAGAGCTTTAGGATTGGAGGTTGTGATAACAATAGAGGCTGGGAGTTGTGGGTGACAATTTTAGAAGTCTGTAGGTCTATATAGGTTGAAAGGCAGATGAGATCTTTTTAAAGAATGAATAAATGAAGCTGACATGAGTTGATTTGTGGAATATGAGGCTATAGCCTGCAGCTGAATCAGAGATAGATGAAGTTGCATATATCAGCAAAAGAAAAACAAACTGAAATCACTGATCTCCAGATTTGAACTCACTTCTGAGCACATTGCATCAACTAGCCACTCTGTCACTCAACCCTTCCCATCCTCATCTTGTTTAACATCTCTTCTCTCTGTCTCCAGTTGTCTCGTTCGGCCTAATTGCCTCTCTGTTATCCCCACTCCAACCCAGAGGTCCTACCTGGTCCTGGGAGCCCCGTTTCCTCAGTCCCCAGCTCTGGATGCTTGTCGTCCGGGACAGATCTGCGAGTGGTTTCCCCCGGCATGCTTCTTTACTGGCTCTCGTTGGCGCTGACACAATGATAAACCGTACACTTGGAAACAGACAAGGTGAACAGGGAGAGGGAGCGAGGAAGAAGAGGAAGAGGGAAGGGAGGGGGATCTGAGTGCTGCTGCAGCACGTGTCGCTCGGGATGTGTGTCTGTTTGTGAGAGACCGAATGAGGCAGACAGAGGGAGGAAAACAGTTTTTTTGTCTTTGCAGGTCGGTGATGCTGCTGTGGTGGGTGTGTGCTCGAAAGCCTGTTTGTCTCAGTGCATGTGTGTGTGTGTGTGTGTGTTGAATCAGAAGAGGGGCTGCAGTATTTCTCTCCTAATGCTCAGTTCCTGCTCTCCTCCCTCCTCCCTCTGTTTCATCCTTCCTGTATTCCCCCTCTCCCCACTCTGTGTTGCTCCCAGCCAAGCAATGACTGGATCCTGAGAAATGATGTCAGCAGATTTGTGCAAATTTCTCAGTGCTGCCCCCCCACAACCCTGGATGAAAAGACGAGTACTGCAAAAACAAGAACAACATGAAGACATCATGATGGGAATTTTAGGGAAAACAAAACAGATGATGGGAATATAAAAAATACTACTCAAAAATGTGTAAATTCAATTCAGTTTATTTGTATAGTGCCAAGTCACAACAGAAGTCATCTCAGGTCACTGAACAGAAACATTAAACAAAATGTTTTTTTGCTTCCTACTTACATGTTTGAATGGCAAACTCAGTCACATGGGGGGTGGGGGGCACAAAATTAAATACATGAGAGTTTATAACAAACTTAAAAAAATTGACTAAAGGAAAAAAATTTAAAGCATTTTAATTTTATTTTATACTAAATAATATTTGAAGACTATGCATCAGATCAGCTAAAAATCCCACAATAAAAATTTAAATATACAGGTGTGTAGACTACTTTGAAATAAGAAAAAATAAAACTACTTTTTTCTTAATTTTTTTTTGCATTTTCTTATTTGGGTGTCTTGAATCGTGTTAACTCCAAATGTTAATAAGTTTTAGATGTACATTGATTTTTAAATCTAGAGTTTTATAACATTTGTCCACTGGTTCACAAGATATGTTGCTAAAGGCAAATGAACACATACACACAGACCAAAAAACAAAAAACATTATCACCCTTTCCTCGGATGGTGGACAATAAATAGCACATAATGAAGCAGACTCTGGTTCTTTGATGCACTTTAGTTCAAGTTTGATTACTTGACATTTATTGGCTGCAAGCTCATCAGAAAGAGTTTAATGGTCTTATTTGGGTATTCTTTGTTGCACTTCTGACAAAGTTTACTGAAAAATTAAAACCTAATTTTCTTGTCTATAAAGCTGACTACAGTAATTGTGGCCTATAAAGGCAGCCACCTATTATTATCCACCTGCAGAGGGTCTTGCTCTTCTATAATCTTTAATGTGGCCCAAACTGCAATGAACAGTGCCTTGCAAAAGTATTCGGCCCCCTTGAACTTTTCAACCTTTTGCCACATTTCAGGCTTCAAACATAAAAATATAAAATTTAATTTTTTTTGTGAATAATCAACAACAAGTGGGACACAATTGTGAAGTGGAATGAAATTCATTGGATGTGTCAAACTTTTTTAACAAATAAAAAACTGAAAAGTGGAGCATGCAATATTATTCGGCCCCTTTACTTTCAGTGCAGCAAACTCACTCCAGAAGTTCAGTGAGGATCTATGAATGATCCAATGTTGTCCCAAATGAATGATGATGATAAATAGAATCCACCTGTGTGTAATCAAGTCTCCGTATAAATGCACCTGCTCTGTGATAGTCTCAGGGTTCTGTTCAAAGTGCAGAGAGCATCATGAAGACCAAGGAACACACCAGGCAGGTCCGAGATTCTGTTGTGGAGAAGTTTAAAGCCAGATTTGGATCTAAAAATATTTCCCAAGCTTTAAACATCCCAAGGAGCACTGTGCAAGCAATCATATTGAAAGACGTATTAGACCACTGCAAATCTACCAAGACCCGGCCGTCCCTCTAAACTTTCATCTCGAACAAGGAGAAGACTGATCAGAGATGCAGCCAAGAGGTCCATGATCACTCTGGATGAACTGCAGAGATCTACAGCTGAGGTGGGAGAGTCTGTCCATAGGACAACAATCAGTCGTACACTGCACAAATCTGGCCTTTATGGAAGAGTGGCAAGAAGAAAGCCATTTCTCAAAGATATCCATAAAAAGTGTTGTTTAAAGTTTGCCACAAGCACCTGGGAGACACACCAAACATGTGGAAGAAGGTGCTCTGGTCAGATGAAACCAAAATCGAACTGTTTGGCCACAAAGCAAAATGATATGTTTGGCGTAAAACAACACAGCTCATCACCCTGAACACACCATCCCCACTGTCAAACATGGTGGTGGCAGCATCATGGTTTGGGCCTGCTTTTCATCAGCAGGAACAGGGAAGATGGTCAGAATTGATGGGAAGATGGATGGAGCCAAATACAGAACCATTCTGGAAGAAAACCTGTTTGAGTCTGCAAGAGACCTGAGACTGGGACAGAGATTTATCTTCCAACAAGACAATGATCCAAAACAAAAAGCCAAATCTACAATGGAATGGTTCACAAATAAACATATCCAGGTGTTGGAATGGCCAAGTCAAAGTCCAGACCTGAATCCAATCGAGAATCTGTGGAAAGAGCTGAAGACTGCTGTTCACAAACGCTCTCCATCCAACCTCACTGAGCTCGAGCTGTTTTGCAAGAAAGAATGGACAAGAATTTCAGTGTCTCCATGTGCACAACTAATAGAGACAAACCCCAAGAGACTTGCAGCTGCAACTGCAGCAAAAGGCGGCGCTACAAAGTGTTAACGCAAGGGGGCCGAATAATATTGCATGCCCCAATTTTCAGTTTTTTATTTGTTAAAAAAGTTTGACACATCCAATAAATTTCATTCCACTTCACGATTGTGTCCCACTTGTTGTTGATTCTTCACAAAAAAATAAAATTTTATGTCTTTGTTTGAAGCCTGAAATGTGGCAAAAGGTTGAAAAGTTCAAGGGGGCCGAATACTTTCGCAAGGCACTGTGTATATATACCCCCACATACAAGGCCGGATTAACCATACAGGTCCTTCTCAAAAAATTAGCATATTGTGATAAAGGTCATTATTTTCCATAATGTAATGATAAAAATGAAACTTTCATATATTTCAGATTCATTGCACACCAATTGAAATATTTCAGGTCTTTGTTTTAATACTGATGATTATGGCATACAGCTCATGAAAACCCAAAATGCCTGTCCCAAAAAATTAGCATATCATGAAAAGGTTCTCTAAACAAGCTATTAACCTAACCATTTGAATCAACGACGTAACTCTAAACACCTGCAAAAGATTCCTGAGGCTTTTAAAAACTCCCAGCCTTGTTCATTACTCAAAACCGCAATCATGGGTAAGACTGCCGACCTGACTGCTGTCCAGAAGGCCATCACTGACACCCTCAAGCAAGAGGGTAAGACACAGAAAGAAATTTCTGAACGAATAGGCTGTTCCCAGAGTGCTGTATCAAGGCACCTCAGTGGGAAGTCTGTGGGAAGGGAAAAGTGTGGCAGAAAACGCTGCACAACGAGAAGAGGTGACCGGACCCTGAGGAGGATTGTGGAGAAGGGCCGATTCCAGACCTTGGGGGACCTGCGGAAGCAGTGGACTGAGACTGGAGTAGAAACATCCAGAGCCACCGTGCACAGGCGTGTGAAGGAAATGGGCTACAGGTGCAACAGTGGCAAAAGCGCCTGACCTGGGCTACAGAGAAGCAGCACTGGACTGTTGCTCAGTGGTCCAAAGTACTTTTTTCGGATGAAAGCAAATTTTGCATGTCATTCGGAAATCAAGGTGCCAGAGTCTGGAGGAAGACTGGGGAGAAGGAAATGCCAAAACGCCAGAAGTCCAGTGTGAAGCACCCACAGTCAGTGATGGTCTGGGGTGCCATGTCAGCTGCTGGTGTTGGTCCACTGTGTTTTATCAAGGGCAGGGTCAATGCAGCTAGCTATCAGAAGATTTTGGAGCACTTCATGCTTCCATCTGCTGAAAAGCTTTATGGAGATGAAGATTCTATTTTTCAGCACGACCTGGCACCTGCTCACAGTGCCAAAACCACTGGTAAATGGTTTACTGACCATGGTTTTACTGTGGGGCAGCACGGTGGCGCAACTGGTAGAGCTGCTGCCTCTCAGTGAGCAGGTCCTTGGTTCAAACCCCGGTCCAGGGGCCTTTCTGGGTGGAGTTTGCATGTTCTCTCCGTGCATGCGTGGGTTTTCTCCGGGTACTCCGGTTTCCTCCCACAGACCAAAAACATGCATGTTAGGCTGATTGGTAACTCTAAATTGTCCCTAGGTGTGAGTGAGAACGTGAATGGTTGTTTGTCTCGTTTGTCTCTATGTGGCCCTGTGATGGACTTGCGACCTGTCCAGGGTGTACCCCGCCCCTCGCACAGTGATTGCTGGACATGGGCACCAGCGACCCCCGTGACCCAAAATGGAATAAGCGGGTAAAGATAATGGATGGATGGTATTACTGTGCTCAATTGGCCTGCCAACTCTCCTGACCTGAACCCCATAGAGAACCTGTGGGATATTGTGAAGAGAAAGTTGAGAGATGCAAGACCCAACACTCTGGATGAGCTTAAGGCCGCTATCGAAGCATCCTGGGCCTCCATAACACCTCAGCAGTGCCACAGGCTGATTGCCTCCATGCCACGCCGCATTGAAGCAGTCATTCATGCAAAAAGATTCCCGACCAAGTATTGAGTGCATAACTGAACACGATTATTTGAAGGTTGGCGTTTTTTGTATTAAAAACACTTGTCTTTCATTGGTGGGATGAAATACGCTAATTTTTTGGGACAGGCATTTTGGGTTTTCATGAGCTGTATGCCATAATCATCAGTATTAAAACAATTAAAGACCTGAAATATTTCAGTTGCTGTGCAATGAATCTGAAATATATGAAAGTTTCATTTTTATCATTACATTATGGAAAATAATGACCTTTATCACAATATGCTAATTTTTTTAGAAGGGCCTGTATGTAAATTATCGTATGGGCCAATAAAGTCTTTACTAGGGTCTTTCCTGTGGACCTTGAGTTTGACGTGTGTCCTTGAGGACTGATGTTTTCCCTAAGAGTGACCAGAACAACATCACATCTAGATGTCTCTCTTGCAATATTAAAACACAAATATATTACAAATATAAATCCTTTTGAAAGCAGTTCATGTTTGTAATAAATTTATTGATACACACGACACAGCACTACAATATCGCCTGGTGACAAACACACCTAAAGGATACCGCCAATCAATTTTGAATTTGGCCAAATTGTTTTGATGCATTGTATTGTACACAGAGGACACGAGACAATAACTGGTGCATATTAGTCAAGCTTTCCAGTGATGAAAAGAAAAAGTATTCTATTTTTGAAGATTTTATCAGAGAAAATTAGCTTCTCATCCTCAATTTATAGTACGATGTTGACGCAAAGCCTCTAAAAACTCCTATTTATGGTAAGAGAAAAACAAAATGGAAAAATGTGCAGACGGGTTAGGCCTTTTTGTGGATCTGTAAAATGCTGCTAGCCTATCAGCATCTCTGACAGATCTCGAGGTTAAAACAGGTAAAGAGAAAACAGGAGCAACATTAGGCCAAATGATCTGCAACTGTAGTTTCCATGGCAACTCAAAACGTCCCATGACGGAGTGCTAGCTCAGCAGAAGAGGCTGCAGCTTACATAGCCTCAACACAACATTCAAGTCCTGCATCAGTGAAGCTGCAGATTCAAAATAAAAATAAACTGTTGTTGGATTTTTGTGAGATTCTGACCAACAACTCAGGTTAGTATCAGTCAGTGGTATTGACAGATACAAGTTAAACAATAATAATAATACGCTGCACCGTCTTATTACAAACTAGAACTACAGAATGCAAAGAGCTGACAAACCTGTCAGTCGATGCATTTGACAACCAGGAATCAGACGCAGCACCTGGGATTATCTCATATCTTAAGGAATATGCTTAAAACGTATTTTTCCCTCTCATGGTTCATCATCTCTTTGTTTGGCTTCATGCATCATTTATCTCGTTCTTTGTTCAAGTCTGTTTCTTTGCTGCTTCTGCGTCGTCAGCCATTGATGTCCGAGTGCTGCTGGTGCTCTTCATCATGTTGTGTAAGCACTTTCAGGTCAGCAGGATTTATTCTTGCTCTTGCTAGTTCTTCATGTCGGTGCTCTTCCACAAGTATGCGTATTAAAGCGAATATACATTTAAATTTAAAAAAATCACTAAGTGAGGATTTGCTAAAGAAGCCAATGAACCTAAAATAATAATTCTGCATAAAAAGCCAAGTGATGCTTCAGGCTGCCTAATAGTACACCCCCTCATAAAAAATGTGAGCCATATTTGATTCAATATACTGTAAAAAATAAAAACAAACGCAAAAAATACCCCACTATAAAACATTTTATTCCATCAGAAGGGGACATGCGCAGCCACAGAGATGAATTATTTAAATACAGTTGTATCCTGATATGAAGCAGTTATGACTTAAAATACACAGAACAACAAAGTTTCTGTTAGCAGATGTAAAGAATCAAGTTCTTGATAACATCATCTCTCTGTTGTGTTTATTTCTGCTTCCTTCTTGAGCCAAATCATTGTCACCATGGAAACAGGGAAAGCCCCACATGTTGCCAGGGGAACGAAAAGAGAAAATATGCAACGCTGCAGTGATCTGAGTGTGGATGTGGGTGGATGTGTGTGTATTCCCTGTGGGGCCCACTCGACAGGGGAAGCTCTGATTCAGTCGAGGATGCGAACGTTGTTCGGTTCAAATCGTCATGTTCTTGGCCACAGCCTTCCCCATTCTGTCCTTTAGGTACGCCAGTTTATGCCAATCCGTCTTCAGCTCCAGCCACTCATAATAAGGCACCTTAGGGAGAATGAAAAGTTTTCAAAACCTTTTAAGTAGTTTAGATTTTTATGTTTTCAGAGGCACAGAGCTGTGAAACTCTGTTTCAAAAACATAAAGATGAGAACAACGCGATAGGGTTGTCTCAGACGTTAGTTGAAACATGTTACAATGCAGCAAACCTGAGAAGAAACGATTCTATGAGTAGGTAAGAAGATTGTCCTAGATGAAGAGTTTGAGCGTGGATTGGCCTAGATGAGCTCTATTTATACCCAAGACTGCAGCAAGACCCACCTGACATGCCCTTCATAGTACTCGGCCCATTGTGTTCAAGCTCTCAGCCTGTTGGATGCTGCTGCAGCAGCAGATGCTTCTCTGCCTCACTCCACTGAAATATTTCTATCATAGCAAACGCCACACTGGCTGATTCCTGTTTTAAGTGGCTTTAGAGCGCAAAGCGTGCAACAAAATAAAACAATGCCACAGTGCTGACATCTCTAGTAACTTTTTTACCTCCACTGTGATGAAACCAGCCAAGTGAAGATGTCGCTTCATCATCACAAAACGTCCCAGAAGGTCTCGACTCTTAGAGGCAAAGTGGGGGAATTCCAAGCCCAAGAAAGCTAACCTAAAAAAAAGAAAAGAAGGATAAAACAAAAGTACCACATAAGGCACATTATTAGTGCTTAGCGTATTTTTTGTTGGTTTTTCTTGGTTCATATCTTAAATATTATTACTGTTTTTCTTTTAAATTTTATTGTTGGATGTAACTGGGACCCTGAGTACACAATCGTTCCACCACATGTACCACATGTGGTGTGAATAACAAATAAAAAAGCTCTGACTCTAATTATATGCCCAATGACAAACTCATACAGCAACACAGTAATTTATAGCAATGGCCCAGACGGGCAAAGGCCTTGTATAATGTTTGACCTTGATATGTGACCTTAATCTTAAAACTGGGATGAATAATATGCAACTGTCCATCTAGTGATGATGTATTGTATATGAAGTTTCCTTAAAATATCTTGAGTGGATCAGAAGTTCTCGGCAGGACAAGAGAAAGTTTTTGGTCATGTGGACTAAGACTATACAGTAGTCCCTCGCTACCTCGTGGTTCGTTTTTTGCGGACTTGCTCTATCGCGCTTTTTCAAAGTAAGATTGGACATGACACACAATTGGCTGATTGACGGATGAGCCACATGATCAGTAATTTTTATTTAAAATAAATTATTTTTAATGATTTAGCACCTGCTGCAACAGCCCATGTGAGAGCGCTGGCAGAGTGCAGCTGGTGACAGAAAGCTGAGATCATGACATGCTGTGCTCTTTTAGAGCGTTTAGAAACATTGTTTAGAATATTGCAAGAGTGTGGGAAGGGTTTAAAACGCCTTAATATAAATATATATACACATACCGGTATACACAGACCCTTTCCAAAAAATTTGAATATCATGGAAAAGTTGTTTAAATTCCATCCTTTCAAAAAGTTAACCTTTAATAGATGATAGATTCAGGGCCCAAAATTTAAACAATTTCAAGTATTTATTTGTTTATTTTTACATAATTTGGGCTTCCAGCTCATGAAACCCATGAAAACAGGATTAAAATAAATTAGAATACTGTGGAGAAATCAGCACAAATGTTGCAGGGCATGAAACTTTCAAACTGAGTGTGACACTAATCATCTACTAAACTCAAAGCACCTGCACAGGTTTCCCCAGGTGTCATTAAATTGCTTCAGTTTGGTTCAATTGTCTCAGTTCGGTTCAATATGGGGAAGACTGCAGACAACAACAGTCCAGAAGACCATCACTGATACCCTCCATAGGATGGGTAAGCAACAAAAGTTCATAACTAAGGAGGCTGGCTGTTCACAGAGTGTTGTGTCCAAGCATAACAATGGAAAGTCTAGTGGAAGGGCAAAATGTGGCAGGAGAAGATGCACCAGCAAAAGAGATGACTGTGGGCTTCAGCGGATTATCAAACAGAGAAGATCCCAGAATCTGGCAGAGATCCAGAAAGAGTGGAATGAGGCGGGAGTCACAGCTTCAAAAACCATCGCATTCAGACATATCCGGGAGATGGACTACAACTGTCGGGTTCCTCGGACCTCTTCTCCGATGAAAGTAAAGTGTTCCTTTCATTCGGAAATCAAGGTCCAAGGGTTTGGAGGAAGAAGGGTGAGGAACAGAGCCCATACTGCTTGAGGTCCAGTGTGAAATATCCACAGTCAGCCATGATTTGGGGTGCAATGTCCGGTGCAGGTGAGAGACGGTATTTAAAAAAAAAAAAAAAAAAAAAAAGTTGCGTGCAACTAATTAGCATTACACCAGTACCGACAAGTGGACGGTGGGTGCGCAGTTCGGTTTGATTGTTAGGTTCTGTTAAAGGGGCGGGGCGCCCTGACGTATTACGTCATGAAATTAGCATATCATGATATCATTTTTTGTCCGGGCAAGCTACTGGTATTATCGTGAACGATATGATATGGCCCGACCCTAATTAGAACTGGATTCCATGATATTCACTAGATTCAAGATGGCTTTAAGAGCAAATCAGCATTAGCAAACAAAAAATGGTTAGAACTTGAGTCAAGTTTACAAGGAATGAGCTATAGTTTGGTGTGGTAGTAGTTGAGTCATCCTCGTCTCATTCTGTGAGTGCTGCTTATAGTTCTTGCAAGATCTCCCTTTATTGTATTAGATTATGCATAACGTTTGACCCGAACAGCTATAACTATGTCCCTTCTTGTCATAAGATGTTCTTAGTTTAAAACAATGGCATGCAAAGCGGCAGGAGACATGCATTCCTTTTTTTTTTTTTTTTAATACCGTCTCTCCTCATGTTTTCTTCCCTTTTCTCATCTAAGCAAAATATTATTCTGAATAAGAATAAGAGGGCCGCGCTATTTAATAGCCGCAGCTTCGTGCACTCCGCCCATCTTTCGGACGACTGTACGTACATATTCGCGTTGTATCTCGGTGCAATGCCAATAAAGTTTATTCTGATACTGATTAACCCTTGTTCTTTTAATTTTTATATAATACTGCAAAGCAACATGTTAAGTTAATTTTGTCAAATGAATAACTGATTTCTGTGGGGTTTTTTTTGTTATATCACAAAATATATTATCGTCAGAATGCTCTGAAATATCACATTATATTTGAGCCATATCGCCCACCCCTAGTTCTAATGTAAAAAAAAAAAAGCAGCTTTGTGCTATTTTTGATCAGGATGTCTTTTAACCCCCACATTAAAACTAGTACCAGAACCGCTTTCCTTCCTCTGCATAATATCTCTAAGATTAGAAACAACTTGTCCAAAATTATTCAGAAAAACTGGTCCATGCATTTATCATGTCTATGCTGGACTCTGGGTGTCTAAAACCTTATTTAAAATATCTTCAGTTGATCCAAAACGCTGCTGCCAGGGTTTTAATGAGAGTTGGTAGGAGAGATCAAATCTCTCCAGTTTTATCTTCTCTCCATTGGCTCCCTGTCAAATTCAGAATAGAATTCAAAATCTTACTTCTAACCTACAAAGCTCTCAACAACCTAGCTCCATCTTACATTAGAGATCTTATTGTTCCATATTTTTCTAACAGAGCACTCCGCTCTCAAGACTACAGGTTTACTTGTGGTTCCTAGAGTTTCCAAAAGTAGAATGGGAGGAAGAATCTTCAGTTATCAGGCTCCTCTCTTGTGGAACCAACTTCCAGTTTCTGTCCATGAGGCTGACGCATTGTCTACTTTTAAGATAGGTCTTTTCTTTTTGATAAATCCTATAGTTAGGGTCAGCTTAGGTTTCCTGAGCTATTCCCTAGTTATGCTGCGGCTTATATGTTATATGTGGCTTAGACTGCTGGAGGACAAACTGACCACATTTCTTCACTCGGCTGCTGTCTCTAATTGCTCTAGTCTACCTGTTTGCATTTGTAATTATTTCTATACTTAACATGTTTTTTTGTCTTTCCTCCAATATTATGTACACCTGGTCCTGCCATTCTGTGTTTGTTTGTTTCTTCTTCCTGTTCCTCTCAAACCCAGCCGGTTGAAGCAGATGGCCACTCGTCCTGAGCCTGGTTCTGCTGGAGGTTTCTTTCTGTTAAAAGGAAGTTTTGCCTTTCCACTGTTGCCATTGTGCTTGCTCAGGATGGGAGACTGTGATAAAGTGAAGATTCAACGAGTCTGCTGGCTTCCTTAGATGTATAACTTTTTACTAATTGCCTTATAACGTATGTGAATGTTTCTGTTCAGTGCCTGAAGATGACATGTTGTGACTTGGCACTATACAAATAAACTGAAATTTAAAAAATAAAATTAAAAAAAATTGAGTAACTTTGAAAGTTAAATCAGTTGTAGATGTACATCCAGTGACTACTTTTAAGAGTTTTCTTCAAATCCATCCAATAGGACATGATACATTTTTGCTAAAACAGAAAACGAGCCCAGAGACTCACCGATGTGCCCCTTCAGGTAAATTCTGGTCTCCTCCTCCACTCTGTAAATGAGGGGCTTTTAGTGTGGTTATGTCAATTGGTTTGTAGTCACAATCCACAACCATTTCTCCATCTGAATGATACGTATGAAAAGTTTAAGACAAAAGACATGTTTAGAAAAAGATTTCTGGATAGAGTTTATAATGTGTAAAATAGTGTGAAAACATGCTTAAGGGCTAATTCGACCCATCTTACCAATCATCCATCCATACACTGTGGCAACGCCGGTGCGGATGGCCTCCGTCTTACCACCCACCAAACTTAGAAGCGAATTTCTCAGACTGATCTGCAGTTCAGATAACGAGGAGCTAAACACTGGGGCCGGCAGGATACTCGGAGAGGAACCTGGATGCTCCAAAAGGAGAGTGGCAGCGATGTGCAGCATCTTCAGGTTATAGTTCTCCAGTTGAGTTGGACTGCCCTCTGCTCACAGAAAATACAAGAAAAACAGAAGAGTTGGCAAATTACTTGCACCAGTGCTGCCATCTGCTGAACCAGAGCAGAAGTTTTAGCCAAAGAGCTTTAGATGGAACAGTTTCACAAGAACACGGTCTGCTCTTTAACCAAATAACATGGATGTGATAATATTAAAGAGGCTAATTAATATGGTATATAATAGTGTTTTTTGGTTAGTCAAAACCACAGAATATGCAGAAGTTTTGATTTTTAAAAGACATTTCTATTATTTTATTCTGTCTTTCTAATCTATTTGTTGCTTTGCAGTAACCTCAGCAGGGTATTTGTTGCATATCAGACACTGTGCTTCAACTAAAATTGAGGACAATTTTCATAATAAATTTAATAGGCTACTTGACTTTTTTTCTTACAGATGCTTTAACAGGGTTTGTGTTGTGTTGGGGGATGCAATCTGTTAGAGAAAATAGGCAACATGCACTCATGACAGATCATTAGGTGATTACAGGGTTTATTATTAAGTTTTATCTGGTGAATTTAATTAATTTCATTCAGTCAACCTTTATTTATACTTGTTAGTCTCACTGAGCCTCAGGGGCTCATTTACAAGAGAGACCTGATATTAAAAAAGAGTGATGACAAAAGTAGACAATCATAAAAGCCATACAAATTGAGAAGAACAAATAAAAGAAAATCTAATTTAACTAATCTCTAAAATTATTCTTCATGTCATTACTAGTGAGCTTTAATAGATTTCACTCCTAATTTCCCCACAAGTAAAAACCTGATGTTTGTAGAAAAACTCTTATTTACTAAAGCAGGATATTGATGTTTTACCTCGTGTTCCACATTTTTAACCTATTCAGATTAACTTAAATGTTTAAGTTTGAATGATGCACATGAACTGGAACTCAACTATTAACAGTTTGCCCACTATTTTGGTTTCTCCCATCACAAAAAAGCTGGCTGAATAATTGTTTTGAATCAATTTTCCCCAAAAGCTCATGTTTAACAAAATAAATAAATAAAACATAAATAAATGAGGAGAAATTAAGATGTGAAAATAAAAATAAGCAAAAAATGCAAAAAAATCATCTAAAATTTATTCTTCCTTCCTTCCTACATAGAAAGCTTTTACTAAACGGCATTCGTATTGTATGAATGTTTCTGTCCAGTGCCCTGAGACGACTTCTGTTGTGACTTAAGAGCTATAGAAATAAACTGAACTGAATTTTAATTTATTTAGATTAATTTTAAAAAGTTGGTAACAAACAAACAAACCTGAGTTGTTACTGATATAATAGAATAGAGTGGTTGATCCAAGGTTGATCCACTCTGAGAAGGTGCTATTTATAAGACTGAGCTGAATACAGCACCTCAGACTGAAGAAGTCTTTCTGATGAAAAACGAAACGTTTCTACAATTTTTTTGTTTTGTTTTTTTGAATGTCCAGAGGACCAGATTTAACTTTTTTAGATATTAGTATAGAGTAAAAGTAGAAAGCGGGTCAAAAGCTGTTTAAATAAATAAGATTGTAACCACCTGAATCAGCTCTTTGATAATGTATTCATTTTTTATGTATATGCATTTACTGCATGCACTTTTATTTCATTTGTATTATTCTGTTCATTCGACTTCAGTCCTCAATACAGCCATGTTTACACAATAACAATGAATCAGATTTCTGGTTTGGGCTAAAACCTAAAACACGTGTACTGGGTGATTGTGCTCACTTTTTCTTTCTTTAAGACAAATTAAAAGTTGTGTTTTACACATTAAGGGTATCCTGAACTCCTAACAGCAACGTCTCCTGATTAGGATTAATCATTAACTTCACACAGACTCTCTCACTGGTACATTTTCCTTTTTAAATCACTTCTTGGTCTGCTGCCTTCATACATCTCCTCCTACATGTCTCTGCGTGAGTGCAGCTACAGCGTGTGCTCTCAGGACATTATTACCTGCAGTGTTCCCTCAGTGAGAACTGAATTAGGCAAAAGGGCCTTCTCCTACTCCGCTCCTGTTTCCAGGAATATCTTGCAAAAAGATCTGAAGCTCTCGACCTTGACCTCTCTAAGTGGCTTTAAACATCTGCTAAGTTCCTGACAAAAACCAATGCAGACATGTTCCTGTTCTATTTCGTATAGGTTTCGCCCTTTAAGACTGTCGCTAGTGGGTTTATCCCTAGGCGTGCAGCGCAGCACTGAAAAATTTAGTCCACGCCCACCTGTTGTGTGGGCCTCACCCATGGTCCGTATAAATTACGGTGAGACCGGGTAATCGGCTCCCATCTTTTCTTCATCCAGCTAGCTAGCTCTGTCAGAAGAACGAATAAGGAAAAGTTGTCCAGCTTTGACTGGCACAACCTTTGCTAAGGATGCCTGGGTCTCCGCCACGCCAACCTCCTGCCGTCCCGGTGAGCTCTTCCTCCCCGAGGAAAAGCAGACGAGCAGCCTTGTTCAAGGTAAGCGCCGAGGAGTGCTTTTCTGTGGCGGGCCGCTACCCGCTGGATGACGCCACTGCCTTTTCTAATGTGTTTTTTCCTCACGGTAATCGAATGATTTCCTCAAAAAGGCGATGTTAGCAGCAGCCCCACTGAATGTTTTTTCCGCGGAGGGCCGCTACTCGCTGGAAAACGCCACCGCCTTTTCCAACGTTTTTTTTCTCGAGGTGAATCCGATGATTCCCTCGAAAAAGGCGTTGTTGGCAACAGCTCCGCTGAGTGTTTTATTCTGTGGCGGGACACTATGCACGGGAGGACGACACCGCCTTCTTTGACGCAGAGTCACGCAGTGAATCGAATGATTCCTCTGAGAAAGGCGATGCGGAGCTGCCCCTTTCCTCCTGGAGAGTGTAGTGACAGAAGACGAGTGGCTGAGCAGATGCTCAGTCACCTTGGATCTTCCCACGTCAGCGACCACACCGCTCCCAGCCGTCGGCACCCTCCACTCGGAGCTGCTCGGCATAATCCAGGAGGATGTTAACACAAGGGACTTTCTATCCCTCGCCTCCCTCCTCCCTGATCGGATGATCTGGTGGCAAGGTTGGCTCCGCCCCGGCTTGTCGCCCTGACCCCATCTGGCCTAGCTGTCTAGCTGTGGCGCACACGGCCGCACTGCGTCGTTTTCAGTGTATGTTCATGCATTACTAGGACAGCTCTTCAGGACGTCCTCTATCCACTCAGTGCTTCTCACACTGGTTGTGTGGGGCTATTTCTGAAGCTTACAGTTCATCTGGACTGGATCCTCCAGAGAATCTCAGCGCATTCCACCAGAGGGTTTTCATCCTCCATGGCTCTGCATGGAGGGATGACAATGGAGGATATTTGTATGGCGGCTGCCTGGTCATCGCCATGTTCAATTATTCATTTTTATCTACGTGATGTTTCTACTTTCTCCATGACCCATTCTGTTCTCAAGGTTCTGACAGAATGATTATTTGTTTCATGGAGCCTAACTTTTGAACTCACACCAGCCTGCATGCAGTCGCAGTGTGAGATATTTATTATCAGTCACAAGTTCATGACTGCAAATTTTATTGTTATTAACCAGTTCATCCTGAGGAGCTGTTGGTCTGCTCTGTTTATTGTTACACTGTTACAATTCATATCATCCGTTGTTCCTATTCACAGCAGGTCTGCTATCTCAGCCTTTTTTTTCCTCACCTGAGATTTTCTCCGGTGCGCTCCTGCGAATGGAGCACGCAATTACGCAGCGCATAATTACGCACACAGAAGGCTGAGTGATGAAATGTTTTTTTGTGCAAGCAGGTGCTTCATAAAACAGGAGGTCTTTTAGGTGTTTAGGTGTGAACTGCCAATCTACATATGTGTGTGTGTGTCTTATGTGTGTGTGTCTTATCTCACTCAGCCTTATAACCTGAATCTCTCACTCTCTGCTCTTTGAATTGAGAAAGCTCCTCGGATGAGGAGCGAAACGTCTTCTGTTACAAATAAAGTCCAGTTGTTTTTGTATTGAACGCTTTTTGAATTCATCATGTCCTGGATGACTGAGAATCTTCACCAGCACGTCGTGCGATTATGCGTCTTTCACGGCGCTGCGGAGCCGTTTCGTTTTGTTCACGGGCAGTTCATTGTCAATGCTGACTGACTGAATAAAGTTTGAAAAAAAAACCCTGCAGCGCGACTTGAACAGAGCAAGGGGGAGGCAGAGCAGAAGTGGTGTTTTCAAAGGAAATTAAGTAAATTTTACAAATGACCGACGCAGCGAAAACTGTTCGACCCAAGTCCTCCAAAGAGTGGGAGCTCTTCACAAAGATAAAAAATGAGAAGCATGCAGCTTTGAAAATCGCCGACACGACACGGGAGAACCACGGAGATAAACGTAAACATGTCGGAGTCACGAGGAGGAGGAAGGAGCTGAGCAGCTGATACAACTCATCCTGTGTTGCAGGTGAGTCTCTACAATTTAACACATTGTTCTGTTTCCAAGAGAGAAAACGTAACGTCAGTCTCGCTGTAGCTGAAGCTGCTGCTTGTTTGTTTGTTTGCTGATTAATGACGGTGATGGAGAACGTGTGTGTTAGTTTTTATTTAATTTAATTGGTACAAGCAGTGTTTAAATGTGATTTATAAATAAAGCTAACACAAATATAATAATTTAATGATTAAGCTTCAACTTTTAATTTGCTGGCAAAGTCTGAAGATACTGCAGGTACGGCAGGATGAATTGCATTTAAACAGGAATTAAAGTAATTTATTACATCTACTCAAATGTGTGTAATTAAGTATTTTGTGTGTGTGTTTGTGTTTAATTGCTCTTTTAGCTACTTTTGCCTGAACCTAACGCTGTAAGTGAAACAAGGCATTTCTTGAGTTGCTGTAAATTATGTTATAAAACATATTTACTCATTCCAGAAAACAACAACAAACAACAACATCCTTCATGATGGACAGACGTCATGGACACCACAGCAGCAGCTGTCTTCACTGAAAGATCCTTAAATGATCATCACTGACATGAGGCCTCTGTCGATGGTTGAAGACGAAGGCTTCACTACAATGATCCACACTTTTAATCCAGGTTACAATAATCCACACTTTTAATCCAGGTTACACTCTTCCCTCAATGACACAGTTTACAAAGTAGCTACATATTGTGCAGGTATAAAGATACATTTGTATATATATTTGTGTACTAGGGCTGCAACTAACGATTATTTCAATAATCCATTCATGGGCCGATTATTTTTTCGATTAATCGATGAATCGGCAAAAAAAAAACACGTTTTAATTTCCACCCCTTTATTCCAAAATTGAACATTTGACTGACATAGCAATTCACACAAAAAACAGGTTGCTATTTTACTATTCTGTTAGTAAAATATTGAATAATAAAAAATAAAAGTTAGTCAAATAGCTTAAAAAAATAAATGTACACAAAAATATATACAAATGTGTCTTTATACCTGCACAATATGTAGCTACTTTGTAAAATGTGTCATTGAGGGAAGAGTGTAACCTGGATTAAAAGTGTGGATTATTGTAACCTTGATTAAAAGTATGGATTATTGTAACCTGGATTAAAAGTGTGGATTATTGTAACCTGGA